AGGGCTCGTTTTCCAGAGGAGTCATCCTGAGTCACAGAGAGCATGCACAACCCTCCCCTACTCTTTGATGCCCAATATTTAAGGTCTCCCCTTAAATATCAGGCACGCAGGACACAGAGCATGCTCAACTGCACTCACATGCACACATCAAACTACAATAATCTCACCACTGAACTTACTTAATTTGGGAAGCACGTGAAGGTCAAAATCTGTTTAGTTTAGCTTAACGAAAAGTATTTGCAAAACATATTAAAATCTTCAAAGTTATCTTAAGAGACCAGATGCAGTTAGTTACCAGTTATTTTTATATCAGTGTTGTGAAACAAATTCCAATATTTTCACTAAATCTTCTAAATGAAACTATTCTCCCAGAATCATTTGCTCATTGCAGAAACATTTCCACCACATCATGCAAATCCGTAAATTAGATCCCAACTGTACTACCAAAGACAGCCAAATTATAAACAAAGTACAAATGTGCATTTATAGAGCAAACATGGAAGTAATGCAGCAAAACGCACATTCTGCTCTAACTATCATTTGCATTTGGTGACTTCTTAAAATTCTAAACGCTCGGTAATTACAAAGAGAGCAAGCCACCTTCCTTCTGCTCTTACTTTAAAGTCATTTACAGGAACTGGCAACCAGAAATTGCAGAGCAGAGTACACAGTGTCAAGCAGAGGGAATCCAGACTAGTTGGCAGGCATAAAGACACTTTTCCCTCAGTGTGCTGCACTCTGAGGATTAAGCCTGCCTGTGTGCTCACGTCTGCTAAACAAGATATAGACATAATACCTTGATGTTTCATGTTGGGCAAAGCCAGTTAGGAGACGCTGCAGTGGCGAAGAATCTCCCAACATCTCTACATTTTTCCCACTTTATCTACAACACTGCACTCCCTCGTCACTCAAACATTTTTCTTTGAGGTTCCAGTAACATTGCATGTTTTGACGACTGACGGTTTTGTGCTGCACAACACCTGCTTCTAATATGCAAGTAGGGATAGGTTTTTTTGAAGTAGTGGCTGAAAGCATAAAATTTAGCTCTTACTGTACTGGCTCCACATCACACATTCTGAAGGAAAGAACTGGGAAAAGCAGGAAGTGAATTACTTCATTTATTCAAGATAGCTGCCATAAAGCATGTAATTGACTTAAACACATCCCGCAGATATTTCAGCTGACAATTATGGTAATTGCAGACGGCTGATTTAGTTGCAAGTGATTATCGTAAAATAACGTTCGAATAACAGCACAAAGGTAGATAATTTGATACACATAATATATTTTAGAGATTAAGGCAGTTTTCAGCGGTGGAAACTAAAAGAGGAATTTCATGGTTTTAAAACTACTTTGTATTAATGATTCTTTACTGCTATTATTTACATTTGAAGAGTTGCAGGGCTTCATTGTTGCTGTTATCTTGGGTGCCTAACAAAATACACTGTAATACTGTAGTCAAAGGAGCTTGCAAAGAAAAGCGTCTGGACTTCTTTAAGTTACTTGAAGACGTTTCACGTCTCATCCGAGAAGCTTCTTCAGTTCTAAGGTCAAATGGTGGAGAGTCCCAGATATAAGCCTAGTGGGAGTATCCCCCCACAGAGGGACAAAAGGACCCCCTGATGATCTGGGTGTGGGTCCCAATCAGCCAGGGTTTCGGGTGTGTTCATTGTGAAACCTGGCCCCACCTTATCATGTGAATTCCTGAGGTCAGATGGCCCAGGATGTGAGTGGACGTTAAAGCGTCTGGGGAGGGAACTCAAAACTGGATTATAGATGGCAGACAGTTGGTGTCGTAAACCACCGCCTCTGTTCAAAGATGGTCGCTCACAGTGGACATAGATGGCTTCTTTCACTCCTCTTTCAAACCATCTGGAGGAGTGACCTTAGAACTGAAGAAGCTTCTCGGATGAGAAGTGAAACATCTTCAAGTAACTTAAAGAAGTCCAGATGCTTTTCTTTGCAAGCTCCTTTGACTACGATGACCTGGATGACTGAGAACCTTCACAGACATGTAATACTGTAGTATGTAATACTGTGGTGTCAAACCTAAAATGGGCAGGAGCATCAAACTAATGCAAAATAACTTAATACAAGAAAACATGTTTTGCTAATTTTTAACCTGTTTCATAGAATAAAAATACATTGTGAAATTTTACAAAACAGATAATGAATCATACAATAAGATGTATGTAGACTTTCGGAAGCAAACATATTTCACTTCTTTATGATTCAAACATCCAACTGACATCTATAAACTTTTCTTACATTTCCACTCTTGTGTAGTAATATTGGCATCAAAGATTTTATTTTGAATCCGAAAAAAAATATTATTGACTTCTCCGCCATTGAGCTGTGATCCTCAAATTATGCAAAATATTGTTTTCTTCAAAAGTCCTACAAAGGCTCAAGAAACTTGAATGCATCTTCATTTTAATTAAGGAGCATCATGCTAAATTTTAACTGTAAATTGAAAGAAGACAATGCTAATGCATTCTACATTATACTGCAGTACTGACCATTCATAGTAAGCCATAATGAGATCTATACATGAACATTTAATACACTGTATCCTGTGGCTTGGTCCTGAGCCAAGCAACAGGAATAGACTCATTCAACTGAAACAATCCGACTAATAACATGTATTAACTTTTTCATTTTTTACACATGGAGCTTTTAAAATGTGCAGCTTTAAAGTATTTAGGAATATAGCCCCACGTCCACCAGCTACAAAGGTAAAATGTTTCTTACATATGTACATATTTGTACAGGTACATTCAAATATACATATTTTAATGCATATATAATCAAAGCTTAAGCTTAACACGTCCTCAATAACTAGTGCATTTCTTTCATTTCAGGTACGTGACATTCTGCAGTGTACACTCTAAATTTCAAGCTTTGATCTTGCGATTTGGAAATCATCACATGCTTTTTCAGCAGAGCGGATAGCCTGCTTGGTCTTTTTCCTTTTCTTTTGTTTGTCTCTTCTGGACTTGACTTAAAGTTACATTTTTGGGGGGATTACTGTAAAGGCTCAGCACTTTTCTTCTTTCTTACTTCATTTTTTTCCTTTTTTTTTAATTTTTTGCTTTTTTCTCTTTTTTTTGCTTTGATCGATTGGATAAATCAACTTACCAGACACCTAATGTAACATATCTCCAACTTTTCTGGGACATCTTCTGGTCATTTAGTAAACATCCATGCACAATTTATCACTTATATCTGCCAGGTCATGAGTTTCTTTAGTGTCCCCAAGGGTGAAATAATGCAAAAAAGCATTGTATTGAATATAAAAAGAGGACAGTAACGCATTCATCATGATACTAACTGATGGGGCATTTTCTTGCTGCCAAAGAGAATGTGCTCCTCATCTTTCTCGCAGTGCTGGAGTACACAGGGGTGGACTTCCCTTTCCTTCCTCCCATACTGGCGTAGGTTCCACCCCCAATGCACAGTGAGAGTTAAATAATGGTCTCCAGTGGGGTACAAGGGTAAAAAGGTGGGGGGAGAATCCAACAGCACAGATGGACTGCCTTGCAGAGTAGTTTCACATGCAGAAAATGTTAATTAAATCTATAGTATGCAAGGCTGTGAAATGCCAAAACTGCATTTACTTGATGGAAATATAGAACAAAGAATGGAGGGCAAATGGAGGTTGACATGTTGCTCTTAGAATCCTACCAAGAAATTAATTCAAAATAAATACATAGCATCCATATGTTATGTGCAAAGTAAGCATCACTCACTAGCCCTAAGCTCTTTCACTGGCAATATCCCAAATCCATCACAATAGCTGCACATATAGCGAGGATTTTCTGAAGCACAGGGGGAGAAACTCATTATGGAGGCTCATATGTGAGACACTGCTCGTATGGCATTGACAAATGCTCGACAGAGAAGCCAATGTGGCATAATTCAAAGACGTCCAGCACAATGAAAGGGTTTCTCATCATGGTGAATAATGCTGGGTGCTGGCTGCTTCTCAGCTTTAAGTGGTGGGAATGTTACTTTTGATATATTGACTTCTGGATTTATGAAATAATCCCTGAATCAGCGAATATATGTAGGTATGGAGCACCACGGATAAAGACACTCACAAAAACCTGGGGAGTGCTTTTAGTTATTTATTTATTTTTTAATTTGCTGTCTTTATATTCTGATTTGAATTGATTTTTTTATATTAAAATATATATATTTTTAAATACACAGTTATTTACATCTGGAATGGTATGAACAACCTTATTGTTATATTCTTTTAGTTTAAGCACATTTCATAAGAAATAAACCTGAATTATAATGAGCTTTACTGATGCAGATAACATTTTTGGTCTAATTTAAATAATTCAAATGTTGCCAAAATTCTATTTATAAATTTAAATCAATGCAAACCTCCTAAAAGCTATACATATACGTCCAATACTTGTGAAATCAATTCATTAATTATACAAAACAAAGATTTTACCAATAATGCCATTATAGAATCTGCATGCGATTCAACTAATCTCAAAAGCTCCTGCGGGATTTAACGAAACCCTGAGGAGAATCCCTGCACCGCCCTCTACATCATCTACATGCTGATATGATTTGAGAATAAATGGATTTGGTTTTGTTTCTCAAAGCAAACACAGCGTGGATTTTTAACCTATATTTGTTTTCTGTTGTGCGGATATGTGTCTCTGAATTGACAGTTTATATTAATTAGACGTGTCGTTTGCAGCTCCTTCCCCAAAGCACACTTGTACAAAGAAGTTGATTTCTTGTTGCTCACAGCTTGGCCTTGACCACTCTGTTACACATGCCAAACAACAGAGGAGATTCGGTCCAACAGGAATGAAACGCAAAGCTGAAACCGTCTTCTGTGCGTTATGGTGCCAAATGGTGCGTCTATGACCCCCCAAGCAACCGTAGCAGGGTGCCCGCTGGGTTAAATTAGCCCCTTTAGGAACAAAGGAGGGACACTGTAACACTATTACAGCAATTAACAGGCGTATTCTTACCGCTATGCGAGTCTGTGAGGATGCTTTAAGATATAAGATGATCCGTTTTTTGGGAGGGAAAGGTCGTTTTGGACTTGGTGAGGTCCAAACTTGAATCCCGCCGTTGATTATCAGCTCCACTTCTCAGGAGGAACCAGCAGGATGTTTCACTATTGGGTTTCAATTTAGTCTCAGAGCATCACTACGAGATGTGTAAGCAGTCTTTGTCCATGCCAGCCACGCTATTCTGTCTTCGGTCGAGCTACGTCGATTCAACTATGTGGTCTGTTGCGTAAAACCGGTGCCAAAATTCCTGCGGGCCCATTCCATTACAGCGATGCTAAACAATAGTCTGGTCATCTTGACAAGAACCGAACCCACACCAGCTCTGATAACAGCTGTATCGGCTTTTTAAAACCAAATCTTCAGCGCTAGTTTGTCCATATCACTATGACCGGCTCGAGAATTTGCTAATAAATACGTCAGCGGCTCACATGTGCCATTTGGCTCCAGCGTTGTCTTTCGGGTCCCTCGTCTTGTCCTCACAGGGGGAGTGAACAGCGGAGTTGCTGATCTGTTGATCACTGGAGGTCCACCTCCATCCAGCGGTGTCCTTGTCTCGTATTTATCGGGAACGGAGCCTTCGCCGTTTTCCACATGCAGTCTGACATTAGCTGAACGCGGATATCGATGAGTGACAGCTGGAGTCTCTGACTGTAAGCTTGGAGACCCATCTTTGCAGGAGGGGAGCAGCGATGTTGCGCGTACGTGTCTTTGGTAGTGCGCGTACCCGACAGGTCACACATCTCGGGTCCATAAACATCTGCCTAAGGAAAGGGCAGTTTGTACTTGTAGTCTTTGTTTGTGGTGCAGCCGTTCAGATATCACAGTTAGAGGCTCGGCGTATTTCTGCTGTTTTATAATGGAATAATCAATAGGATAATTATCTGCTATGGTATCATTTGAATACAACATTTAATATATTTTTATAAAAAAGCACTGGGAATGTTAGAGGTAATACTTATTTATTTATTCAAATTAGTATTGCCATGAGTTTATGTTCTTAGTCTGCTTATCCACAATTAACGGAAGACGCTGGTGGGGTCTCAGATATATTGGGGGCGGGGACGGGGGTGGGGGGGTGGAATGTGCTATTGTACTGCAAGTGTATTTCCTTAGTATGGCAATGAGGCATTATAAATGAAACGTGTGTCACTCTGGAACACTTATATGGGCAATATTAGATAAACCCAGTTTCAAAGGCATCGTTTCATTTTTGTTGGCACACTGGGGTGGAAGATTTACAGATTCGGTTTTGGAAATATATTTTTATTACTTTTTAAATTTAATAGAAGGGTAAAAAAAAATATATGTATTTTGACCGTGATTTGGGAAAATATGGGCTTTGGGGAAAATTCTATCCATTTTTCACAAACAACAAATAGTCCTCACAGTTGATTTTGCTCCATTAATGACTTATAGTTATTATACTTCTTTCTGTTTTGCAAGCCTGTCATAGTGCAATAAAAATAACATGTTTTCTACTCATCAGTGCAAATCTAATCTATCAGCCAATCACATGGAAGCAATCAGGCATGGTCAACAAGGCCTGCTTAAGTTCTAACTGAGCATCGGAATGAGGAGACAATGTCATATGTTATTTTGAACATGGCATGGCTGTTGGTGTCAGTGTGGCTGGTCTGAGTATTTCAGAAACTGCTGATCTGCTGGGATTTTCCCAAACAGCCATCTCGAGGATTTACAGAGAATGCAGAGCATCTCTGAATGTACAACACGCTGAACCTTGAAGCCAGTGGGCTACAGCAGCCGAGCTCACAAGACCTGGACAACAGAAAACTTCAAAATGTAGCCTGGTCTAAGTTTGAGTTTCTGCTCCAACATTTAAATAGGATCAGAATTTATACTAAACAGCATGAAAACATGGATCTGCCATGACCACTCCTTTATGACCACCATGTAAATTATGGTGGTCATGTCACAAAGCTGAAATCATCTTAGTCTGGTTTCTTGAACATGAAAATTAGATCACTGTACTCAAATGGCCTCCACAGTCACCAGATATCAATCCAAATAAGCTACTTTAGGGATGTGACAGGAAGGAGGATTCCCATCATGGATGTGCAATCAACAACCCTAAAGCAGAACTGTGATGCTATGATGTCAAAATGAACCAGAATCTCTAGATGTTTCCAGCACCTCGGTGAATCTATACCACAAAGAATAACGGCGGTTCTGAAGGCAAAGGAGGGTCCAACAGAGCAAGTAGTAGCAAGGCGTCACTAATAAAGAGGCTGGTGAGTGTAGATGTGAATTTTCTTTCAGCTAGTCTGAAAGAAGACATTTTATGAAATAAATCAAAAAATAAAATCAAAAAATTTCAATGTTTGTAATGTTTTGCTAAAAAAAATGTTTTGTTTACATTATAAAAAATATTTACAGCAGTCAAGAGGAAATTTAATTCAGAGCAAACGGGGGACACTTCTCTTCCCATAAAAGCAAACTGGAGAAATACAAAAAAACCCCTAAAAAATAAAGAAAGAAATGCAAAGTTAAAACTGTCTTTATTTAGCAAGATTAGTCTTGGTCTAGTCTGGTGTAGTTTCGTTTGTGGTCCAAATCCATAAAGAACAAATAAAGTGTCAATTTGACGTACTTGGCTTTTTATATGGGAAAAAAAACTGCTGCAGCTTGTGGGGATAGGTTAATTGATTAATCCAAATTGTCACTAGGTGTGAATGTGCGAGTGAATGTGAGTGTGTCCCTGTGTGTTAGCCCTGCGACAGACTGGTGACCTGTCCAGGGTGTACCCCGCCTTTCGCCCTATGACAGCTGGGATAGGCTCCAGCGCCCCCCGCGACCCTGAAAAGGATAAGCGGAAGCGAATGGATGGATGGATAGAAAAAAAACTAGGTTAATTAATTTAACCATTGACAAAAAACAATGAATAATTATTGGGCTGCAAATGATATCCTTTTTTTTTTTTTTTTTTGCCTGTCCCGTTTGGCTCTTTTGCCATCAGAATTATTGTCTAAAGCCGAAGAAAGATGCCCAACGGATTTACTTTACCAAATTGACCATCCCAGCCTTGCCGTAATGGTCCATTTGATCACCTTTTATTGTTTATTTTATTTTCACTTGCTGAATACGGGACAGACTTGACTGGGGGAAAGAGGGGGAGAAAGAAAGAAAGAGGGAAAGAAAAACAGCTGAGAAGAGGGACGGGGGAGAAGGGCAAAAAACAAAAACAATATCCAAGGAAGTGACTGAAGGGATCAGGGTTCTTCGATTCCTTACAGTGAAAAGGGGCTTACAGATGAGTAATTCGTGAAATGATTTGGATCACTTCAAGGTGTTCTACCATTCATTACCATCTCAATCGCACCACTGAGTGAGGGCCCACGTCTGGTCTCAATCTGCTTGTTTAGAAGGCCTCAAGCATGGGAACACATATGGTTCATTTGGCAAATTGAGACAGCTAGCAGCTTTGAGGTTGCAGCTTCATTGTTCTAAAGGCGGGGTGGCTCACGAGTCCATCCACCCTCTCTGATTCTGCAGGCACCCATGCATGTGCAGCCTCAATGAGTATGTGAGCTAAACTCTGGCATGAACTAACCTCTGGATCCCCTGATAGGAAATGAATCAGTACTGTTGGTTCTTTGGGTGCCCGCGGGTGCAGGAGTCACACAGTCATGTGTTTCTTTGTGTGCCAGATCAAATCCCCTACCTCAGATTTTCATGGATCTGCTGGAAGGTAGATATGAAAGGAGGAGCAATAGGATGTATTCTGGGAAGGTTTGGAAACATCGTTCAGATTGACGGCCTTTTTTACTTATGAGAAAGCAGGCCCCTGGTGCAGATGTATGAAAGGCCTCAACAAAGCAGCAAGACATCCAGTCTGAAAGTACTCGTTGTTTGTTTTGCTTCACTTTGTATAGTTTTTTTTTTTCTTTTTTGGCTTCTTTGTAGTTGCTGTAGTCATGACATTGTTTGGAGGCTGACTCAACCTTCATCATCTTCCTTCAGCGAGTAGATAATTGTGGCTACATCTTCGCTATAAACAGATTCTTATTATGAAACTGTCTGCCTGGACTCTCAGTGCCTATAGCTGTCCACGTTGTGCCGGATAATCCAGAGGGAGAGATTCGCTCATGATGTTAGCAGGAAGAGACAAGTGTGATTGAGTCATAGACACATGGTAGAGCCTGAGAGGTGTGTAGTTGCAGTGAGAAAGGAAAGCACGAATAAAAAAGTAAGAGCAGAGGACGGACAAACTGTGGGAAAGGGTGACTGATGAGATGTTGAAATCAGATGAAGATGCAAAGGAAAAGGCCTGACTGAGGAGGAGGAGAGTGCCCCTAGTTGGCCCTATACCACGGCAGAACCTTGCTCCTGTCTATATTTAGCACAGGGACCACAGATTGTAATGACTGCTCCGGGGCCTTGTGTTCAGACCGGCAAGAACTGCTGCCATCCGTCTCTGCGCCCGGGGCCAGGCACGATCTCACGCCAGCACATAAGGGAGGAGTGATGGGACCGTGTCTGAGTGCACGCTTACTTAACAAATGCGCAGAGTTGATCATATTCTTTTAGAACAGAGGTAACTGGATGTAAACCTCTGACAGAACCTGCATCTAAATACATCAATGAGAAAGGAAGCTTCGCTGCTCATATTAGTGAGTTCTTGTTCACAAATATCCAATTCCTTTCAATTCTCCTTCCCTGAAGCATTTGTAAAGGGCAGAGAAACCCCCACCCCACCCCTGCTATCTACCCACATTTGCCAAAAATAAATAAATACACAAAAATCACTTGTCACCCTGAACAGGATTGACATTCAGTCCAAATGTCAAATGTAGCTTGCCATTTTCAACTCTTCCTATTCCAGGGCTAACCTTCCCAATCTCCATCACCTCCGGGACTGTTTGAGGGATTGTCAGTGGTGAGTGATGAAGGGCCGAGCTGTTCAGACACTGCTGTGCTCCGAAGGTGTGACAAGATACGCCAACCAATGTGTCCTGAAGTGAAGTTAAAAGCTGCTCTTTAGAGTGATAATGTACTCAGTATATAGGTTTTGTGTTCAAATGCTTACACCCTACAGGCTTGAAAGTTTCATCTTTCACCAAGAGCAGTGGCTGTGGTCAGTTTGAAATCAAGTTTCACAGCAGATGGTGCCTCTCAAACTGCTCCTGCAGCATTATCCACTTCTCTGCTGCTGATTTGGCTGGAGGATCACTCATTGTGTAACTTTAAACTGCTCAAAAAGACGGTCTCCTAAATGCTGAGTTGCAGGCAATTCTTCATGCTTTTATTGGATTTTTCAGAAGGAGTTATTTGGGATACTGCACCACCAAACTTTTGGAAAACAATTCCCATACAAAACCCCCCCAAAAATATCAAACCTGCATTTAAGTAATGCTATACTCTGTAAGTTACATAAACTGACTTCTGGTGATCCCATCAGTTGAGAAGGCAGTTTGTATTGTTTGCCAAATTTTATCCTGCCTATAGATGAGCTCTTAATATACTTGGGCAACTGAAAACTCATAACCAAGGCCTTTAGAAACTATTATATATGGATTTATGAAGCATCCTTAAAAACCCAATCACATCATTAAAGTGGATTTTATATGACAGCATTATATAAGTTATTGACACCTTTAAAAAAAATCCTGGCATTGTTCATTTTACATTCTTAGCTCCTTCCTGTTAAATTTGAATTCACACAACT